CGGGTTCTGATGAGAACAGTGTAAGCGTTCAAGCAAACCACTTCTGAAGATGCAAGCCACTCGTGCTTGCGAAATGTCAAGAAGAAATTCTACCGAACGACGGCATAAAAACCCGAAAAACCCATTAGTTTCAAGGAAGTCCACCACTGTTTAAACCAATTTCTTGACATTAACTGAGCACCAGATTACCAAGATTTCAATTCAGGCATGTCAGGGTTCTTTCCGCTATCGGCAAACAATGACGAATTCGAATACAACTTGGAGAACAAAATCGAAATGGTCAGCCACGGGCCCAAATTGCATCCAGAACTGCCCCTTGGGTTGGGATCCCTCAAGGACCGAACGCGCTTTGATTCGGGATTTTTCGGTAAAATTGAGTCAGCTGGCTAAGGTTCCGGGATCACTTGGGACATTCGCAGGTATCCCTCCGAACCATGTGCGCTGCAAAAACCCCATAATTCGCATGCTTTTGGAGAAATGTTACGAATCCATCCTGGATGCCGGCCTGCATCCCTCTGACCTAGCGGGAACCCGAACCGGAGTGTTTATAGGAGCAGGTTTTACCGAATCGGAACTCCACTGGTACCATTCGGAGCAAGTACCCGGCGGAAATGTGATCTTGGGGTACGTCTCACCTGTTCGTATTACGATCCTTTTCAACCAAACCCTGCAGGAATCAGAAGTCGCAACAGGCCAACAAGCTCAGCTATTTGCTGCGCCTACAAGGCCCTTCCTTCACGGTCGATACGGCATGCAGCAGCTCAGCCACCGCTGTCGACGTGGCCTACCGAGCGATCAGAACAGGTCAATGTGACGCCGCCCTCGTGGGCGGTACCAATCTGTTACTGACGGACGGTCTGACGTTGCAGTTCAGTCGGTAAGTGCTGCTTTGATCATGCGCAAGCACCGCCCGGCAACTGCATTGGCCGCTTCAGACTAGGAGTTCTGAGTATGGAAGGTCGTTGCCGCCCGTTCGATGCCGATGGGACCGGTTACGTGCGCTCTGAGACCATCGGCATGCTTCTGATCCAGAAAGCCAGAGACGCCCATCGAATCTACGCCACTGTGGTTCATGCAAAATCCAACTGCGATGGCTACAAGGAGGAGGGCATCACGTATCCCAGTGGCGGCGATCAGAAGCAGCTGTTCAAGGAAATGTATCTGGAGAGCGGCATTGCGCCCTCTGCGGTCAGCTTTATTGAGGCTCACGGCACTGGTGAGTCCAAGATGCAAAAAACCAGACAATATCAATGTTTCCAATGAGGTCCACTTTAAATCATCCTGTACTCAGGAAGAGCCCGCTTGAACAGTAGGTACTTCTCTTAGGAACCCCTGTGGGCGATCCAGAGGAAATGAACGCAATCGACCAGACTTTCACGGCGGGAAGAACCAGCCCCTTATTGATCGGTTCGGTTAAGTCCAGTGTTGGACATGCTGAGGTGGCCTCCTGCTTGTGCTCGATCGCCAAGGTCATTCTGGGCTTTGAAAAGAACAAGATCCTACCGAACATCAATTATGTGCGACCCAGACCGAGTCTACAGGGCATCTTTGCCGGCAGGATCAAAGTCGTGGTGGAAAATACAGCTTTCCCCCAGCAGAACAACATCGTAGGTAACGCATCCGCAGGACTCCTAAAGCAAGCAAACGACTGCGGTTCGGGGTTGCAGGGTTGAACAGCTTTGGGTTCGGGGGCGCAAACGTCCACATGATCCTCAAGCAGGGCGAGAAAGTAAGAGTAGGGCGCAGACAGCCCTTGGATGCGCTCCCGCGCTTGGGGTGCGTCAGTGGGCGCACTGAGGCTGCCGTCCATTGTCTTTTGGATGATGTTGCGCAGAGGTTCGACGAAGAGCACATTGCTTTGGTGCACAACGTGTTCAGGTACTTAACGAAGCCTTAAATTCTCGGGATTCTCCCACTCAACTTCCCGTTTGCTAGGAAGCCAATTAATAATCATATTTGGAGAGGATACGTCATTGTTTCCCAAGCGGGAGTCACTCAGAAATCGACCAAGGAGCGAATCACCGCCAAAACCAAGCTGCGTGTGCTCTTTGGGGGGATCTGGAGAACCCCAGCAATTGCCTTGGGGACGCTGCTGGATCTCCCGGCGCTCTCCCACTTTAAATCCAGGTCGCAGCGCAAGTTTTACCCGCGATCGTCTCTTGAGATGGACTTGCTTGCAGGTTACTGAACCTTTCCAGGCAAAAGCATCTGGACCTAACAGCCATTGGAGCCGACGTTCTGCGGAACGCCCTCATCCAGATGGCATATGCCGAGCTTCTGAAGGTGCTTCAAATCGACATCGACCGGGTTCGGGGGCATTCGCTGGGAAAATTCTGCAGCGCCTACTACGACAACTCCCTAACCTTGGAGGAGTATCTAGAATGCATGTGTGTCATCGCCAATGAGATGGACGCTTGTGGAATGTCCAAGGAGTCAAACAGCCTCAAAACTGCAGATCTGACGTCTGCCAGCAGTAAGTTTAAATTGAGGCGCGGTAGAAAACGCGACTTGGGTTTAATCCTTCCAGAAAGCAAGCTTCAAAGTGAGTTCGCCCGGATTCTAGAAGCGCGTCAGCACGTTAATGGGTTCGGGAGCCACCAAGTCCAACTGAAGTCTGCTAAGTATTTCGCCGCGGCTCTTTCCGAGCCCCTTTCAGGCCGGCGCCCTTCCAACCCGAAAAACTGGGTGACTTTGGAAATAGGCCAGAGCACATCAACAGACGACAGCAACGACAGGGTGCTCGATCTGTACGGGCAAGACGATCTTCTCGGCGTTTTGGATGTTATTGGCAGGTGAGCAGTGATGAGCGAGCAGGGCCAGCTTTAAAGTCAGGGGGGGTTATGTGAAAAAAATACAGTCCTCTGTTATCTATGAAATTAGAAAAATGATCGTCGTTTTGTGCAAGGGTGGCGCAAGATTATTGCAATATTTCATGTTTTCCGTCCCGTTTCGCATGTTTCTCGGAAGCAAAATGAGCAACAACGCTCGTTTTTACATCATTCCAGACATAACTAAATGGCCCTTATTCGAAGTTTCTCAAGAACCATTCGAGCCACAGAAT